CATCCAGAGTGTGTGGCCATCGTGGGTGTGTAGACAGCCTGGGTGCGTAGCCAGCCTGGGCATGTAGCCATTCTGGGTGCGTGGCCATCGTGGGTACATAGCCAGCCTGGGAGTGTAGCCATCCTGGAAGCGTGGCCATCCTCGGTGTGTAGCCAGCCTGGGCATGTAATGCTGACGGTGGGTAAGGGCCCGGCACTCCTGTGTTTACCTGGTTCCACAGACTGCACCGTGAAGCCTTGCACCAAGCAGCTGCATCTGACACTGGCCCACAAGTTCTACCCCCACCACCAGAGGACACTGGAGCAGCTGGCCAGAGCCGTGCACCCAGGCCTCAGCTGCCAATGGACTGCAACATTGTACTCAAGGGACATGCGATTTGTGCACTACCAGGTGAGTGAGCCCAGGCCGGGCAGGTAAGCTGGATGAGTGAACACCCCGCTTTCTCCCTGCCAGCACTCACCCCAGCAGGTGGCTGGGTGAATGAAAGGCTGCCACACACACACACACACACACACACACACACACTGCACTCACCCCAGCAGCCCTCTGCTGGAGATATTTTAGTAAAAGGAAGAACTTCTTTCTCTAAAATCATGTCCTTTCTCTAAAATCATGTCCTTTTCTGTGCAATTTGGAACTAGCATTGATATATATATATATATATATACATATGTTGCAGACACACAGAAATTTGGAAAGAATACAAGCATTTCTGGTAATAAAAATGGACTATTGCAAAGGTTTATGAATACATTGTGTTACTTATTAATTTGTTTAAATAATGATTTGAGTGAAATCTCATTCCAAGGCTTTCTCCCCCTAAATTGATTGGTTCACATAGAAACCATGTAGTGCTTCTTAAGGACCCACGGAATAAGTGTGAGTGAGTCCACCACCGTCCATGTGGCAGGGGAAGCTGTGGGCAACCTCATACCAAGGACGTGCAAGCCTGATTATGCTTCCGGGTCCTTCATGTGAGAAATGAGTATGCAGAGATGGATGGATGGATGGATGGATGGATGGATGGATGGAAGGATAGATAGACAGATAAACAGATAGTTATAGATGGATAATAAGATAGATAATAGATGAATAGATAGATAATAGGTAGATACATACATACATAATACATAATAAATGATAGATAGGTGGATAATAGAAGACAGCAAAATTCATTTCTAACTCTATCCAAAGAATTCCAGGCTACATTTTGTTATATTCTACACTATCATCAGACGAAGGTTTGGGTGGCGTCTTAGAGACACACAGCCTATCAGGGAGCCTGAAAGCAAGAGGCAGACATAATAAGCCTCCTATTGCCGTCTCCTCCACCAAAAATCCTAGCTTGAGACTTGAAAACAGTTGCTTCTTTTCCAGACCCTGAGGGCCCTATTCCAGTATAAACCCCAGAACGTGGATGAGCTGACACTAACTCCAGGAGACCACGTCTTTGTGGACCCCACTCAGCAGGAGGAAGCCAGCGAGGGCTGGGTGATTGGGGTCTCCCAGCGGACGGGCTGCCGGGGCTTCCTGCCGGAGAACTACACAGAGCGAGTCAGGGAGTGTGACACCTGGGTTAAGCACAGGTGAGTGTCGCCTCTCGAGGCAGCCCAAGCCCCTCCCTGAAGGGCCTGAGAGCGTCCATCTGAAAACAGTGGTCACAGGGTTTGCTTGCTTCTAGACCATCCCATCATTGGTAAAAAAAAAAAAAAAAATTGCCTTCTCCATGCTGGCAACATTATCCCACAGCTAGACAGGAAGTACCTTGGCTGATTCATGGTTTTATGCTGATAACATTCAGAAAACATGAATAACTCTATATGGCTTCTGAGATCGTAATCCCAAAATGACTTCAAAATACCACTCCCTTATTATGGACATAATATTGGGTTGTCGGAAAAGTCATGATGTATTTTTTCTGTTTTTCGTTGCAAAAAGGCATCATGACTTTTCTGACAACCCAATAAATTACAATCCAAGGCTCTAAGCTTGGTTTTATTTATCTTTTTGCCCAGTGTATACACTGTAAAGTCGGAAGGTACATGATATGTATACATATTTATAATATAAATAC